AAGTGGAATCGTTCCTGCATTGCTTGTAAGGCTTGTTCCGAACTTGCTGTGTTTGACCGGAGGACCAAGTTCTCTCTGGCATGTTCATGAAGTTCATGAGTCAGACGCTCATACTCACGTGCCATAAGCTCACCATCGCCTTGCGCTCTTGCCTCCAACTGCACAAAGTTAGTGGCTGCCTCCGTGCGGAACACGTGTAGCTGTTGAGCTAACTCCTCGGCAACGGCATGTGCTTGACGTTGTTGAGCAGAGTTCTGTTCATCCATGCGAAACAAAGCTGTTTCATAGTCTCGCTTCATCTCCTGATTGACATTGTTGATGTGCCTCATGGCTAAGCATGCATGGTCACGTTGTCGTTCCAATTCTTCAATGCGAATTCCAGATCCTTCATCTTCTTGTTGCATCTCCTTGATCTTGTCCATCAGGGTCTGAACAACTCCTTCGTATTCTTGCATCTGACTGCGATAGTACATCTGCTGCGCAAGGTTAGATGCTTCGAGCTGTTGCGAAATCGTCAGTTCCTGATAGGCATTCGGACCATCGGCTATGGCTGGCGTGGTCACCGATGACGCATCGCCACGTGCTGGGATAGTGTCCAGAGTCATATCCAGATCGTCAGCATCACGTGGTTGATTGGTAACCATCCGATTCCAAGTCATGGATTTGTCACGCCCACGAGTAGCCGAAGTCCTCGATCGTGCTGAAGAGCTTCTCGAAGATGATGGTCTTGACTTCTTTTCCAAGGTCTTCACTCCTTTGTCCTTGGCCCTGGACGTAGTCCGAGGTGCCTGAAAACCAGACGCTTCGGCTCGTCGTTCGGGAGCCTTGCCCGTCCTCGAACCTGTGGATGTCGGACGCGAAGGCGTAGATGCTCTTGGTAGACTCTTTGCTTTCACCTTGGGAACTGCCTTTGCAATGGCAAGCGCAGAAGATTGACCTTTGTCATCTTCCGTGGAGCTATCAACGGATTGCACCACTGTGTCGTCAGCTGTTGACTCACCAACGGCTGGCGCTGCCACATCGGCACCGAAAGTCATTGTCGTATCTTGGCTTGATCCCGAGTTCATTGTGGTCGTAGTAGATCAAGTAGTCGTTGCTGTAGAAAGGCAGAGCCGCGTACGGCTGATAACCTGCGTGGGGGATTGATCTCGACTAGGTTGCTGCTCTCCCCACCAGAGCTGTAATGAATGTAGGTGTGGCTGGCTTGCACTCTCCACAGACTGGACCCTGTCTCTCTTACACTTCCACGCGTGCAATCCTATGCAGGCAGAACCGGCGGCCGTTCCTTTTGCACTCACTGCCGGCGGCGGTTCGTCTGTGCAACGGGATAGCTCTGATTGCTCAGGATAGAAGACGCTTATAGCACTTAGCTATGGGCATTGACTTGAGCCAAACGTTGCGTGGGCGGTCACATAGAAAGGTAAAGATGAGGGACGCGTAGCGTGCCCCCTTAGAGTCGAGGGACGCGTAGCGTGCCCCCTCCTCTTGCACTTTACACAGTCTTGCTCACAGCTCTTATAGTGACACCTTAGAACTTGACAAGGCATCGCAGTCCGTTCGCATGTAATAGTACTACTAAAAATTTTAGTCGCTGTAGCACTAGTACTTGTGAAAACAAAGACATAGCAACAGCAGTAGTAATGCCAATAAAAATCGTCGTAGTGTTGGTAGTACTAGTGGTAGCAGTAGCAGTAATAGTAGTAGTAGCGGTAATGGCAATCATGATAATAGTGGTAGTAATAATAGCAGTCGCAGTAGTAATAGTAGCAGTGGCAGAATTAGCGGGGGTGGTGGTGGTAGTAGTAGTGGTAGTGGTGGTAGTAGCAATAGTAGTAGTCGTCGTAGTAGTCGTAGAATGAGTGGTAGTGGTAGTAGTAGCAGCAGCTGCAGTAACAGTTGTAGGAGGTAGTCGTAGTAGTAGTAGCAGTAGTAGTGATATGTATACCAGTAGTACAAGTATCGGTACTAGCATGAGTAGTAATCATAAATGTATTGGCCAGCCTTGTAAAGGTAGAAGTAGTAGCAATACTGGTAGTAGTAGCAGTGGTGGTAGTAGTAGTAGCATAGTGGTTCTCCTGGTAATTCGGGGTAGTCATCAGGATACTGATAGGTGTTGGTAGCAATAGCAGTAGCCTGGTAAGGATTGGAAAAAGCTCGTAGGTGTATCCAAATGGACATAGGGCTCAACACCAAGCCTTGTTGTCACAGGTATAATGGACCTAGTTTTTTGGACAGGACATCATACTCCCGGTGACTAGTTGTAGTAGTAGTAGTAGTAGTAGTAGTAGTAGTAGTAGTAGTAGCAGTAATAGTAGTAACAGTACGTGTGAAAGGAACAACTTTTGATATTGAACATGTCAGTACTGGTCGTAGTCGTCGTAGTAGGAATGATGAATAATGATAGTGGTACTAGTTTAGCAGTAGTAGTAACGGTAGTATAGCAGTAATAGTAAGAGCAGCTAGGTGGCTAGGCAGTTTCAACATCAGCCATATTCACTCACTCCGACCGCATGCAGCTTCATCAGTCTGCAGTGAAGCAAGCTTAGCATGTAGGTGAAACGGCGCGGCCGATCTTTTCGAAACTCCACAGCGGTTGTTACAAGGATTTAGGAGCTGACGGGGTTGAGGGCGTAGAGCTTCATAATTAAGCTCGGGTTTCGGAAGCAGAAGGGCAGGAACCAAGGTCTAGGGCTTACACAGGCTTTAGGGTGCGGAGCCAAGGAAATTTAGAAGTCTGGAAAGTGTACAATGTATCTCACCCGCTTTTTTTTGGGTTCCTTGGTATGACATATTATATAAGTCCTTGAAAAGGTCAGGGGTTTTAAGGTGGCATGGAGCAGCTTGTGCAGCACACACAGGAGGTTTATCAACAGGCTCAACAGGAGCACAGTCGGCAATTTCGAAATCCGCGCGAGCAATATGAAACTACGTAATGTACGCTCCTGAAGGAACAAGGTCCTGAAACGCGCAGTAACAGCCAAAAAACACTCCGAATCTAAACATACGGCTTGTTCCCTGTATCTTTCGTAAAACGGTTACCACTTGTAACTGTCAACGTCCTTGGGGATGACAAACCGTGGGCAGAAGCGCTATATGTCTCAACACTCGCTGCACCCAACTGAAGCGAAAGCACAAATCTAAAGCACTATGCACCTCAAGCGACTTGCATCGCCATGACATTGACACTGCAAAAATCATCCTCTCACCAATCAAAACATAAGGATCTGTTTGTTGGAACGAGAACGCTTTTGCAAATAGGGAGACATGGAGAACAATAAATGAACGTCATGGTCAAGAAATTTTCAACACGGAGACACGGAGAAAGAATAAATGAACGCTATGGTCATGACAGTGGCACTACAAAACTCGTCCCCTCACCACTCAAAACATAAGAACCCGTCTGATGGAACGAGAAAATTTTTCAATAAGCTGAGACGGAGAAAACATAAATGAACGTCGTGGTTATGACGTCGGCACTACAAAACTCATCCTCACTCCACTCCAAACATAGGAACCTGTCTGTTGAAACCAGTTTTGTTTTCAAGATGGAGAGACGGAAAAAGCATAAGTGAGCGTCAGAGTTCGAGTTTCTGACAGCCAGTCACAATGTGTTTGTATACTTTTCCAGAAACAAATCCGAGATGACCTCCCCGGAACCATGTGTTACGGACTTAGAAACAAGAACCAAAACCGGGATGACCTCCCGGATCCATGTGTTAAACCGGGATGACCTCCCGGATCCATGTGTTACGGACCTTTGAAACAGTGAGCTCCCGGATGGACCGGGCCCAACCCGGGAACGTGCTATCAAGGGAACCGCACGTCACGACCCTTCGGGGTATATCCTTGCTCTTGGATGTCTTTTAGCTCCTTCTCGAACTTGTACTTGTTGCTTTCCAAGTAACTCCTGACATCGTCCTTATACTTGCAGATGTCCGGGGTATGTGTACCCCACCCCTTATACTTGAAGGTCCTGTATAGTTGATGTGCGTCAAATTCAGAAAGCAAAATTTACAAAATATTCTTCGCTCGCTGTTGCTGCTGTCAGGTCTTGTTCCATCGTAGTACATCTTGACAGCTTTCTCCATTTCCGGGCATTCCGGAGCTTTATGCTGGTCAGTATAGAAAAAATGCAGGCACTTGGTCTTCTTGAACGACTCTTCTCTTGAACCCTTAAGCCAAATCGGGTTCACCTTTCTTGGTGGAGTGCCTGGCTCGCTTGGCTTCTCCTTGCTGTGATCCAACTTTGCCTTCGCTGCTTTCTCTATCTTTTCATCGGTTGATTCTTTGAACGTTGATCTTAGCTTGTGCTTCAAAGCTAACTGCTTCTCTTTCGTGTTTGCTGCCTTTCTTTCTTCATCTGTGATTCCTTCCTTAAGGAACTGAGGTACCTTCTTTGGCATTGGCTTTGCCTTTGCTGCTGGCGTTGCTGGGCTGCTTGCCTCAAGCTTGTCTGCTGTCTGCACCACTTCGCCTACCTTTTGTAAAGCACTTCTCACATTGCTCGTCTTCTCAACATCTCCTCTTGCTGCGACTGCTTCCTCCTCGAGCTCTCGCACTTTCTTAAGCTTTGCTTCGAGCTTTTCTTTCATCTCCTTCTTGAGTTCTTGCTCGTATTAATCATCTCTTCTCTGGCTTTCTTGTAAGCTTCTTCAGCCTTCCTCTTGTCTTCTGTCAACGTGGACATACTCTCGATATATTCTTGTCGTGAGGCGAGCGTCCGCGGCCCGTGGGCCTTCGTCGTGCACCGAATTAACCGTGAAAGCACGTCATCCTCCGTTGGAGGGCATCGCCCTTAGGCGGAAAAGGCTACAGCCTACGGGAGAGCAACTCATCCCTGAGTGCTTAGGAGTGCAAGCACGTCCTGGGGAGTGCAACACGTCCCCGCCCTGAGCTACGGCTCTACGGCAAAACTGACAGGGCAGCACATCGAGGAGTGTGACACGTCCTCAAACCAGGAGTGGATCACGTCCTGGAGGGAGTCGAAACGTCCCATACCTCTAGCCCGAGGCGGGCTCCCTGAAAGAGGCGAGGTATTCCGCGACGGCCAGCACGTGGGAGGCCGTCATGAGGTGTGCCTGCATGTGTTCCGGGCTCGGTGCCCGGACACGACAAGCAATACACCAGAGCATGTCCATACTCACCACTGGGAGGTGCTGTCCTGATGCAGCTCGACTCCCTCCACTGTGGTGGCATACAGCTTGGCCGTTGCCGTCGGCACCCTCACTCATGCACAGCGGGTCCCCGAAAGGGAGCGGTGCCGTCGTCTCATCTGGAACGAGTCGCAGGGCCCCCAAGTTGAGGCCCGTACGCATGTGTAACCTTTCCAGGAGTTCCCTGGAAGTTGAGTGTCCCGGTACCGGCAGCCTGATAACCTGCAGCTGACTGCCGGCGCGACACTCCACATCGAGGCGATAGAGCCACTCTGGAGGTGGCAGAGGGTCAGGCGGTGGGATCACCTCTGTCGGGCTCTCGGCCCTGCCTCCAACGGGTCTTCAGTGACCCCTGCCGGAGGGTCTCGTGTCCATTGAGCCTGCCGGCTCCTGAGGCGGGGCCTGCAGGGTGCTTTGAGCAGGTTGCTCAGGTGGTGGGGATCCCTCCCTCCGGGGAGGGGTAGTGGAAGGACCTGGTTGCTGCGATTCTGGGGCGGTGGCCCGGCCTTCCCTCCGTAGAGGGGGAGTGCGGAGGGGAGGGTGGCACCTCGGCTTTCGGGTCCCTGCCGTGTGGGCATGAGCCGTATCGGCAGGGTTGGCCCGGCCTCTTATCCTCCGCTTCTGCCTTCGCCTTTTCCTCGGGGTCGTCCGCGAAAAAAGGGGCGTCGGGCATGCCCATTGCTTCATCTGCCTGCTCCTCCTCCAACTCCCCCGCCTCCATCTCCTCCTGAGGCGGTTGCGCCTCGGCGGAGATCGGCGCCTCCGAAATCGGGGTGCGCCCGAGGCTTTTGCAGGCTGTAGTCCGGCGGACGTGGAGACTCGCGTGCAGTTGGGGTTCCCCTAAGCCGGTTGGAGCCCCAGGTAGTGGTAGCTCTGCTGCCGACCCTAACCCTAAAGAACATCCCAAAGGCAAGGGCAAAGGCGACAAAGGTGCAAGGCCTGAGGCACAACCTAAGAGGAAGTGCATTTTTCACGGCCGTAAATCTGGGTGCCGGCTCGGTGATGCTTGTAAGTTCTTGCACGAGGGGCCATCAGGTGCTGCTCAGAGCGATCCGCAAGGGAACAATGCACAGGCACTTCTTGGTGCTGAGGCGCAGAAGGCGAATGCAAAGGCCAAACCCAAGCCGAAACCGGCAGCTAAGGCAGCTGCTACATCCGTCGTCAGCTCATCCTTCGCAGGCATGATTATGTCTGCACCGCGTGAGGAGAATCCTTTCCCGCATCGTCAGATTCCTGAGTGGCCGTTGTGGATGTGTGAACTGACCCTTGAGCAATACCTTGAGTGGCAGAGGAACCCCTTTGGTATGACAGGATACTTCAATCAGGTAGACCATCCTCGAATCAATCCCAAGCGTAAGGACCTTGAGGCCAATTTGTGGATTCACTTGAGTGAGTGCGAGATCGAGAAATGGATTGAAGGATGGATGGATGGAATGGTGATGAGGATGTACACTGATGCTGGGTTAATTGAAGCTCAAGTGGTATCGGCATGGCAACATGAGACATGTGTTCATGAACCCGGATTCTTGGTAGCGACAGGCTTGGAATCAGATGAACCATGTTACAGGGTTCTGGTGCTTGCGGCCAACCGGCCTGGGTCACCATTGCCTTTCAATGCTATGCAGCAGGCTCGGTTGGATGATGATCGGAGGATTGAAGATTCGAGAGCATCGAGCATTGCGCACAGTGCCACAGGAGCTGCTGATCTTGAATTGGACCTCCAAGAGTCTGAGGAGGAGTCGATGTCCGACTCCGAAGTGCGCACACTTTCATCCTTTGAGACCCTGTCCAGCGAGTCTTCTGATTATGAGATGCCCAGAAGGGGAATGATTTGGGGAATCCACTTAGCCGAGGAGGATTTTCGTGCGTGGATTAGGCCCGGAGTCCTTGGGGTAAATCATGATGAAGCTTTGATTCCTGTGATAGGCGATGAAGGGTTGGAGATGCGTGCATGGAGGACCTTGATGATGTTCCGAGGCCGTCCTGATTGGCATGAGGATCCCATTGACATCAGTTACGGACAGCATATCACTTTTACGCAAGAGGTTCAGGTGCAAACTGCTCCGAGGGTGTTTAGCACAGCTTATGCAGTGTGTGTTCACGATTCTAGACAAGGGCAAGAGATCTTGTTGGGATTGTGCGCGTATCCAACTAGGCCGTGGATCACTCTAGAACCGATCCGTGTGGAAGGGCATGCAGGTGCACTTGAAGCCAGAACCCCACAGTTCCACCACCTCCAGGATACGGTGGAGGAGATTATGATCATATCCCTGAAATCAACCAACTTCATAGCGCTCAAAAGGGCGTGTCAGGACACAACGGAGTTCTTCTGGACTCTGGAGCGAATGAGATTCTTCGCCAGCAGGAGCACCGTCCTGCCAGATCCGTGCCGCTGCCACTTACCTTGGCGAATGGGGCGTCAATCGATGCCTTCCGCACCAAGGAAGGGGAGGTTGTGGTTGTAGGAGTTGAGAATGGGGATATCATTTGTGGGGTGAATAGGCTAGTGCAAATAGGCTGCAAGTTTGAGTGGGACTACATCAATGGTCCCCGACTGCACTTACCATCGGAAGTCGGAGGTGACGAGGAGCAACTGCGCGAAATCAATGGATTACCCTTCATGAGCCGTAAGACTTTCCTTAAGCTTAGGCCTTTGATGACCCAACATTGGAAGCATCATCACACCGCTTGTGTTGCTGCTAGCGCGGAATCGATGTCGGAAGTGTGTAACATCTTGAGCTGGTCAGACCTGGACCATGTGATCAACGCCCAGGAGGAGACAGCTGTTCAGGCATTGGTGGCAGAGCATCCTGGAGAGATGTTTGCTAAGACTATGCTTGAAAAAACCGTGCTAACACATAGCGATGTGCTGGAGGCAATCAATCGAGCCGACCTGAAGCCCATGGTTTCAAATCGTATGAACAAAATAGAGGGCACTCAGGAGAAGGTTTCTTTGTGGGTTTTCGGAGCTTGGGTGAAGGGAGGTTTGAGGGGGATAACAACATTGACGAGACATCATCCCTACCTTACGAAGGTTCTTGTGAAGTACATGAGGGCGAACACATCAACTCCCTTTATGTCGGTTGTGATTTCACGGGATTGCGTGTTTCGACCACATAGAGACCCCAACGATTGCAATCATCAGACTACATTGATTGGCTTAACCAAGCATGCTGGAGGAGAACTTTGGATTGAGGACACGAATGGAACCGAATTGCGCACTGTGTCTCAAAACGAACCTCCGAAGCCAGGAAGCTTGTTTGCTACATCAGGAGGCAAGGTTGTGACGTTCTGGGGCAACAAGCTTCATGGAACAGAACCTTACACAGGATCCCGAGTTGTTCAGATTGCATATGTGCCGCGCAGCTGGGACAAACTGTCCAATGCCGACCTGGCGACGCTTGACGAATTGGGTTTTCGGTTACCTAGTGGTTGTAATCCTAGGGCTAGTTCCTTGACCCCAGGTCCAGCCGGATCACCCGATGACCCTAGTCACCCTAAGCCTGAGTCCCGAGGTCCAGCCGGATCACCCGATGATGCTGAAACCTCTAAGCTTACGTCCCATGGTCCAGCCGGATCACCCGAACCACATAAGGACCCTAGACCTGATTCACTTAGTCTGTCAGGGCAGCCTGATGAAGGAGGCAATCCGGAGCAGTGCGACGCCGATTGGGACGGGGATGTTTTCAGGGAGTTCGGATTGGTTGGGGATGAAATTTCGGAGAATCTAGCTGGAAGCCATGGAGCCTGCGCCGCAGCCGTTTGCCATGGACTTGAAGAATACAAGGCGAAGGGTTTGAAACGGCCACATAGACGTGTTCGCATTGAGGATCTTTCGACTGGAGTCCTCTCGATTGACATTGCAGGACCTTACACAACAGCTCCAGGAGGAGAGCGGTTTGTCTTGATCGGAGCGTATCGTTCTAAAGAGAATCAAGTGTTACCATTCGTCCGCTGCTTGAAGCGACGCTTGTGGGAGAATGTGGATGCTGGGATCTCTTCTATCTTGAGTGAGCTGTATGCGATTGTGGGTCATCGAGGGCTAGTTCGGATTCATTCGGACAGGGCGAAGGAGTTCTTAGCGACGAAGGGTGTGCAACACTTGAGTGAAGCTGGGATACATCAGACGACCACGTCGGGACATGATCCGGCGGCGAATGGGCTTGCGGAGAGAATGGTCGGGCTCTTGAAAGAGAAGGTCAGAGAGTATCTCATCACGGGAGCTGTGCGGCTATGCTATTGGCCATACTTGTTCCCTGAAGCGGCTAAGTGGATGCGGGATTGCATACTTGGAACATCTTGGCAGGGAGAGCTGCCATATCCTGGTGAGGCGGTGGCTGTGAAGGTCATTGATCCTGCACCTCTGGAGGCTCGGGCTGAACCGGGAGTGTTTCTGGGAAGAGCAGACAATGCGACGCATGGAGCATTCGTACAAGTACAGCGGAACAGCAAACCAACAGTTATCTTGACGAGGTTGCCGGCAGTGCTGAAGGAGACAAACAAGCAGTGGCGCACGTTTACTTCAGAGAGTGGTGACTTGATTTGGATTTCTAGCACAGGAGAGGCAAAGCATGCAGAGGCAGTGAGAGACATTGGACTGGACCTGGGACTGATCACGGTGGAGGAAACTCAATGCGGATACAGTCCATCAGAGGGTTTTCCAGTGGCAGCCACTTTAGCTTCAAAGGCTGGAGGTTCGGACAAGTATACCATTGTGAATGCTGCAGCTGAAGATGAGATGACGGATGCTGAGGAGATGCTTCGAATTCTTGCGGGACAACGGGCATCGGCTGAAATAGTTGACACGAGCGTTTTCTTCAAGGGATCAGAAGCAGATCGGACCAAGTGGTATGAAGCCGCTAAGAAAGAGATGACCACCATGCACGAGCAAGTTGTTTGGCATGAGCTGCGGGAATCAAAGCTGCGCGAGGACTTGGGTTTGGGACCCAAGGAACAGCTGCCGAAAATTCTTCCGATGAGATTGGTGCTGGCGAAAAAACCAGACCTTGAGGCGGAGGCCGACATCAAGAATGGGGCGACTTTGGGAGCAGTTGTTGCGGAGGCGGCGTTCAAGGCTCGTGTCAGATTGGTGGCATGCGGAAACTTTCAGCCGAATAGCGAAATTGAGGAGTCTGAGATTACGTGTGAAAACTTGAGTCCTGAGACGTTGCGATTGGTGTATGGAAGATTGGCTAATGAGGAAACCTGGGAAGGATTATCCTTGGACATATCAGCTGCCTTCTTAAACAGTTTGTTGCCGAAACATGAGAGAATTCTTCTTCGACCGCCAACAGTGCTTGTGAAACTGGGTTTGGTAGATCCAGATGTGCTGTTCTATGCCAACAAATCCATCTATGGTCTGCGACGGGGACCTCATGATTGGCAGAACGAGCGCACCGAGAAGCTTCACAAGGCTGAGGCGAAGGCAGATGAAACATGTTCGTATGGCACATTGCGACTTGAAGAGCTTGAGGAGTGCAAAGGGCTTTTTATTGTCAGGGACACCAATACTGAGAAAATCACGGGACTTCTGGCTATGTTTGTCGATGATGCTTTCATTTGCGGACCGAGAGAAGTGATCATGAGGGTGAAGCGATTGATTGCGCAGACATGGAAATGCCAGGTACAAGGGTTTCTTTCACGAAGCTCAGATTCTGAGATTAAGGATGGCGAAGAGGTCATCAAGAAAGTCGATGAGATCACATTCTTGGGAACACAGGT